AAAGCGGAAGGAGTTCTGTCCGTGGCCAAATGTTGGGCTGACGATTTGTGCGAATCGCCACCGACGATCAAGCTTACCAGCTGGAGAAAAAAAAAAAGAATGGAGAATGCAGACAAGACAAGAATATTTAAGTTAGTTTCTTTAGGCTTAGACTAGTTGTGCAAAATCTATCCTCCAGAAATAAAGAAAATATCTGGGGGCTCATGGCTCTAATGGAGGTGGTCTGTGAGTCAAAAATAATACAAAGACTCTGAATAAGAGGAGGGAATGCTTGTTCAAATATTCACAAAACAGGTATTTGCAGCACTAAACAACCGGAGGCTCCGTGAATAACAATAAGCCAGCGGCTCCTAGAGGAGAAGGCTCTCATTTAAGGAGATGCACAAAAGAGCACGTGGCCACATGTTGCTCTTCAACTTAGCGTTTCTAATGAGGAGCCTTCTCTGCTGGCCTAAGAAAATATCTGAATCACAGACTGATGTTAATAATATTTTGTCCATGAATAATTAAATGTCTCTAAATGGGTCTGTCCGCTTCCTTTCATAGCTTTTCTCCATGGTTGTGCTGCTTCCAGACATGTATTTTCATATTAAAGCATTCAACCAATCACATTTCAGCCATCACTTGTTGTTAGGCAGGGTCAAAGTCAAAGGTGTTCGCCTGGAGGCCTTCACAATCCGTTCTGCGGGCCCCCCTGACAGAAAATAAATGCTTAAACCAATCAGATTTCAAGTTGGGGACACCAGGGCCTTCTAGAAGGCCTAAGGCAATGCCACCGTATTCACACCCGCTGATTGGATAGCCAGATAGCGTACCAGCCAAAGCTAGCAAACAAACCGAAATATAGTTGTGTTGGTGTAATAGCTATTTTATCACCCCACAATGGCTAAAGGAGGAGAAGAAATTGATTTGGTGGCAGAAAATTAAGAAAATTAAGAGAGTAAAATGCTTTTTTCCTTAATAATATTGCGAGTTTATGAGGATATTATTGATGTTTTTTTGCAGCTGTAGCTGTAGAAGACTAGAAGCTGTAGAAGACTAGAAGACCCCTGATCTTTAGACTGTATTTCTACATGATAAGATGATTTTTATAACCATAAAATAGTTATTGAGGGGTGAATTGATTCAGACGGAGCACTACTGAAGGCCCAGGTGTTAAATGCCCAGCCCGCCACTGGTTTTTACCCATTCTTGTGTCTTGGCAGTCTTCCGACAACTCAGCTCTCA